AGCGGCTGGCCCAGGGCTGGGCGCGGCTGCGGCGGTACCAGGAGGAGGCCAGCAGCGAGCTCCTGCGCACCAACAATGAGCTGACCCAGCTCCGTGCACGCCTGGAGGCCGCCCGCCATGAGGTGCTCCAGGAAGTAAGGGGGGACGTGGGGTGCCCAAGGAGTCCCCCCAGGGAGAGGGGCAGCAGTATAGACCCCAAGCGTGCTGCAGAGGGGAGATGTCCAACGTGGTGGTGGTGGGAAGCCGGGCGACACCCCCTGGGCTGGGCTGGGGGTCCCCACGTGCCCAGAAAGCATCATCAGCATGGGAGGTACACAGCCAGGACTCCTGGGTTCCCCTGTCCCAGCTGGGGGGGTGCAGGGGACATGGGGCAGCGGCCTGGGGGGGCGCCTAGGGCTCTCTGTCGCTCTGTCCCCCAGGAGTCCTGCTGGGCCCATGTCCAGAGCACGGCCGCCCAGAAGACCCTGCTGCTGGGGCAGATCAAGCTGGCAGTGCTGAACCTCTTCCAGCTCGCCACCACGCGGCTCAAGGTCCCCACGGACGTGGCCCTGGAGGACACCGAGGCCCAGCTGGACACAGTCAGTGCAGCCCTCTCCCCTGGGCGGCGGGGCTGGGGGGACACAGGGACATTCACGTCTCCGGATGGCTGTGGCATCAGGCTCCCATCTCTGCAGGTGCTGCTCTGCATGCAGGATCTGACTGCCATCTGTGCCGAGCTGCGCCCCAGGCAGACGGGGCCGTGTCCCCCACGCTTGCCTGCAGCCACCAGCATGCACCCACTGCGCCACGGGGGTGCCAGGGTGCCTCCGAGCCAGGAATAGCCCCCAGGGACAACCACCCGCTCCCGGGGTTGGGGAGAGGCTGCCATGGCCAGCATGGAGCCACAGGACCCCCGGCACCCCCCTGGGGATGGAGGTCGCTCCCTGACAAGTCTGGGAATCCCCAGAACGAGAGGCAACATGGATGGCAGTGGCACTGGCACGCCGGGATGGCACCGCATTGGGGCAGGGCCCAGGGCACCCCAGGGCAGCCCCCTCCTGCAAGGGGCACCCCAGGCAGCATGACCTGGCTGCTGTGGAGGAAGGGGCGGCTGCTGCTCGTGTTCAGGCTGTTGGTATCTCCAAAGGCATCTCCTGTCAAAATATAACCCAGCTGTGGACCCGCAGCACCTGGTTGTTTTAGGACTGCGCCTGGGTGCGGCCCAAGGGGGGAGGAATTACCCTGGGCACGATGCTCGTGGCAAGGACAAAGAGGAATCAGGATGCAAAAGCAGCCAAATATTTAATGTCTCCTTCCCCGGCACCCAGCCCAGGCGTGGGGAGAAGCTGCTGGGGCACGGCCCCCCCCTCCCCTACACCCTCTTCCGCAGCTTGCCCTTCTTGGCGGCCCCCACCCGGCGCCCGAAGGCCATCTGCCGCAGCTCCTGCACCCGCTGCCGGTTCCTGGCCTTCAGGCGCTTCAGCCCCCCGCTCTGCAGGAAGCGCTGCTTGGCCACCTTCTTGCGCTGCTTCAGAATCTGCTGCTTGTTCTTCAGCTCCGAGCGCACCTTGCCCCGGGCGGGGGGCTGCCCGGGACCTGCGGGGGGGACACAGCCAAGTTCAGCTCGGAGGCCAGAGCGAGGTGGCGGGGACACGATGCGGGGCTCCGTCGCTTGCTCCAGGTACTCACCGTGCCTGTGTCTGTGCTTCCCTCTGAACTGCTCCCTGCCTTGTTCATCTTCCTCATCCTCGTCCCGCTCATCTACCTTGTATTTCTGCTTCCACTTTTCATAGCTGGGCCAGGGTGGGTTAAGGGAACGTGCGGTGACTCCCCATTGCTCGACCCACCGCAGTGTCTGACCAGCCTCCCTCACCACGCCACTGCCCCGGCACGGGATCGAACCCCGGCAGCAGGGCACAATGCTGCACGGCTGCCGGCGGGTCCAGTCCCACTCCCCCTTGCCCCCAGCCCTCGCCACGGCACAGGCAGGCAGCAGCGCCCGCAGGCAGGATACAGGTTGTT